CCTGGAGGGAAATAAGGCCTTCAACTGCATCACTGCAGACAGGTGGCAAGGCAAGTTTATTTATAAAGCATATTTTCATACACAAAGGCCATTCAACATGCTTAACATGAAGCACACACGAAGAAAACATTAAGATGCATTATAGTTAAAAAATCAGAATGCAGAAGTTAAACCCCTTTAAAGATCTGCTGTTAAGTTGTTCTGTAAAAAAGTTATTTTGAGTAAGGACAGGCTCTTATTTTGAATAACAGTTCTCATCTGATTGGCTGTCAGCTGATCACATGGTAGCACTCCTGATTGGCTTACATGTCACCATGGTTACAGCAGCAGCATCCTGGCTGGATCACACTAGTGTTTCTCTGGATGGTCCACAGACACATCAGGACTTCACATATTTTAAAATCTCTTTTCTAGATTATGGGAAAGTTTCATGAAAAAAAAACCTCATTAGATCAGAAAGATCCGTAACTCAGAGTAATAACAGCTAGTTTACAGTTGGCGGCCTAGTTGGCAGCCTCCTGTCAGCAGCTCTACACATGCCTCTTTTATATTGGAACTCTTTGGGGAAATGATTTCACAGTCTGCCATTATGTTCATGTCTAAGAAGCAGTCTGTGTTTGAAAGGTGCTGTAAAAATAAAGTTTGTTATTAATATTATTACCTTAACGTCTTTGCACTGGCTGCTTGTTAATTTTCATAAAAATTTTAAAATTATTTTATTAGTCTAGATTGCTCGACTACACATTATGAGGGCAGCATAATAAAAAGACTATTAAAACAGATTCAAATACATGAATCAACCCAGAATGCAAGAACCAGATTTGACACCAGAAAAGAAAGACAAATGCTGACCAGCGCTCACTCAGAACTGGTTCATCCCATGGCACTGGCTCTGCCCAGCAGTGCCCACAAGATTATAATTTATAGTACGAACAAGAACCACCTACGGCAGCCTATTAGTGCCACCCTGGGAAAAACTCACGTTAAAACAAGATATTTTTCTCATGATTACGATGTACTGTATTTTCTTGTTATGACGTACAGTAGGCTACTGGAGCCAGTGACAACAACGCACACACTTTCAGCAGCTCACCTCATCTGGTTCAGCAACAACCAGCGCTGCTATGAGGAGGTGTGCTCCAGTTGGTCCTTGAGAATCTCTGATCTGACACTTTAATCCACGCACAATAATTAGCCCACAAAATAACACATGCATGCAGCTCATGAGCTGTGATAAATACAAAATACGCTGCACGTGTCCCGATGATGTTACAGGCATTGACAGCCGGTAAAGTCAGTGTGTGTGCTGCCGAATGCCAGCAGCACATTAGGGAGAAGGATGTATGATTCGTGCTCTCAGTGTGTGATATTATATTAGATACAGCTCCTCAGGTCATACATTTGGAACTATATTTCTATATAGGCTATAGCTTGTGCTAAATGTTGTTCATGCAGTGACCATCAGATGGAAAAATTGAGCAAAATCATTTTTAAAAATGTATGCACGATGTGTACAGGTGCCACTGGCTCTGATTCTACTCAGTCCAATTCATTCAAATGCATCAAACAGTCATCAACAAGTTCAGTAGCTACTAGAGCAAAGGCAAAAGCCGAAGCAGCTCATGCATAACTGGTCTTTGTCAAACAAGAGGCTAACGTAATAAGGAAAAAAGCAGAGTTAGAAGCAAGGTTGCACACTTTGCAAAGCAAGGAAGCTGCTGCAGCTACAGCAGCGGAAGCTGCAGTATATGAGGTAGTAGATGAGCTAGAAACCAGTGAGCTAACAGAAGAGGCAGAAGTCCCAGAGTGGCCGATTAGTTCACGGGTGTTTTTCGAGGACAATACAGCAAATCATGCACCATTGAATTATCCTGACCAGATGACAGAGTGCTGCGAAATCCCCAGAGCCAACACATAAATGCCAAATGCACTGAGCTTTATTCAAAGTACTAAAAATAAATAGAGCAGCAAAGGTGAGGAGAATTCAAAATACGTAAAACCACCTAACATAAACCAGCCACAAATAAAGTTTGAGAAATGGTATTCTGCTGAGCCTCACGTGGTTCATGACATCACAAAATATCTACTTCAAAAGGAAATGGTTAGTTCAGGTTTTTGATATTTGATGATCAAACTGCGAACTACTGGCCGCGGAAAACTTCCTTCCTGGGTGCTACTAGAGAACCGAGCCCAACGGCTGGAGAAGAGCTGGAGTTAATGATTAAATGGCTGGGACCAGAATAATTGGCACAGGCGAAAAGAATTTGTGCAGTACATGTGGTCCACGCCGGGGCTGGACATAGCATGGCAAAGACTCAAAGAATTTTGTGAAGCTCCAGAAGTAATCGAGCATGCTTTGTTAAAAAAGCTAGAAGACCTCTCCCACCTTAGCAATAGAGACAGTGCTAAGCTAATTTGCTTTTAGAAGTCAAAAGAAGAAAGGTATCTACCAGGCCTTGGCTATTTGAATACAACACGTGGGGTTAAACCAATAGAAGAAAAACTTTCCTATAGCTTAAAAATGGACAGTTCAGGGTCTAGATACAAGAGAGAACACAAAGTCTCACTACCCCTATTCTCTCTCTTCTCAAAATGTGTCAAACAGGTAAAAATAAGGAATGATCCTGCTCATTTTTCTAAGCCTGACAAACCTAATAAGGCCACTGTATATGTGTGTAAAACTAATGCTCCACCTGCACCTATAGCCAGCCAACTTCAAACTGCAGAACAAACAATGGAAAGCCCACAGCGACGATGTCAGTCCTTTAAAAAAAAAAACCATTCTCTGACTAAATGTAGGAGGTTTGAGACTAAACCAACAGAAGAGTGCAGGACAAGTCAAAGAGAATAAGATATGATACAGGCGGTGCAGTTCTACCCAACATTTTGCCAGAGATTGTAAAGCACAGGTAAAATGTCTTGAATTTGATAATGAAAGACACAGCACTGCTTTGCATCCAAACCTGTCTCCTTTGACTGAGGCTGTCAAGGCTGAAAAAGAGGATGGCGGGGAGCTAGATAATAATACATCCTCCAATGTTTCTCCACAGAAATTTGTGTCACCAGCGGACCATGTTCCTGCTCCAAGATTTGCATAGAGTATCTCCTGCTGGCAGAAGAGACAAAGCTACGAAGATGTTTGCAGTGTTTGATGAGCAAAGCAACAGATCACCAGCGAAGACTAATGTTTTTGAAATTTTGATGTTAGAATGAGTACCAACCCTGACACTCTCAAAACATGGATAATTGTCACTAAGCACAAAAAAGGGGGGTTAGTGCTGAAAGTCAATGGGGCAGTGATCTTCACATGGATGGCAACAAAAGCCAAGCATATAGAAGTCACCGAGTCTATGTCTGCATCAAGTTCTGTCTCCGTTTGTCAGTGCGTGTAAGGAGTTGAACATCGATGCCAACAGTGATGTCATACAGACTTAGCTGCAAGACAAAGGATGCACATGGATAGTCAATCCTCCGCACTCATCCCACATGGGTGGTTCATGGGAGAGACTTAATGGAGTAGCTAGGTGCACACCTTGCTGCTTATTTCAGGTCCAAATGATTGACCCACAAAGTCTTGGATACATTAAAGGCAGAGGTATTGGCCATCATAAGGATAATAAGGAGGATAATCACCTTTATTGGCCAAGTATGTTAAACACAAGGAATTTGTTTCCGGTACAGAACCAATGGCAGCCATCTACGGAGCCAACTCAGCCAATGGCTCTAACCATCGGGGGCAGCAGGTTCAGTGTCTTGCCCAAGGACACTTCAACAAGTGGACTGGAGGCACCTTCAACCTTCTGGTTGGGAGACGACTGCTCTACCCACCGCACCACGATCGCCTCCTCTGAATTGAAGACCACCGATACCTGTGTCAATAAATCCAGATTCTCCAAAAGCTCTTACACCTATGAAGCTCTTTGAATGATATTCAAATTGTATGGAAGCTGCTGTATAAATAAAGTTAGATTCAATCACTGGACCAGTGCAGGTGGCAGCCTCCAAGACTGAGAAACGAAGCCAACACCAAAACCTGCAGTTCCTCGAATGGCCACTTGAGGCTAGCTGAACCACAGTTGCCCAGCCTTACAGCCTGGTACAATAAACAGCTTTAGTCTCTATAGCTAATTTCCCCTTCTGTGACAACTGTACAGCAGGTGAAATTTTTTATAACTCACCTGTATATTGAGACTAAAAGTTATGCATAATTAAGGGCGTGGACACTGAGTGACAGGCGGGAGGGTCCTGCCATAAGTGGCTGG